CCCCTTACCATTAAACGGGAAAATGAGCACCTATAAAGGGATGCGTCTCTCTCTTGGTGGGTATCATCCCTTACATTCGCCAATTACCACGTACATAAAATACCTCATTTATTTTCAAGGTGGTTTTTACTTCTTAAATTTGGGAATTCCGTATCACCGAGTTTTTGGAAGTGGTTTTTACCCCTTACCATTAGACGGGAAAATGAGCACCTATAAAGGATGCGTCTCTCTCTTGATGGGTGTCATCCCTTACATTCGCCAATTACCACGTACCTAAAATACGTAATTTATTTTCAAGGTTGTTTTTACTTCTCAAATTTGGGAATTCCGTATCACCGAGCTTTTGGAAGTGGTTTTTACCCCTTACCATTAAACGGGAAAATGAGCACCTAGAAAGGGATGCGTCTCTCTCTTGGTGGGTGTCATCCCTTACATTCGCCAATTACCACGTACCTAAAATACGTCATTTATTTTCGAGGTGGTTTTTACTTCTCAAATTTGGGAATTCCCGCTGGTGAAAGAATACCCGATCGACATTCGTATCCAAATTCGCCGGTCGGTAGAGCGTTAAAGATTCCAAAAAGTGCCCCTCGCATTTGTTCTCAGAAAACGGCAGGGGGGAAGGGACGCCTCGTAATCAGGGGTTAAAAGGAGGTGCCCCGCGGGAGGATCGAAGGATCGCCGCTTCAAGGTCCCGGGCTCGGGGGTGGGTGTCGCCGAAAGAGCCGTTCGATCGCGTCCTTGGACCTGGGCCTCCCCGGCCTCCGCCCCCGCGGAATCCGCGTACACGTGGGCATCCCCTCGCGCATGCGCACAAGGCGAAAGCTCGGGAGGACCCTCGACCTTGGGCTGGAGCGCTTTGTGCCGCTGGGTGGCACGAATCTCGTTGCTTTGTGAACGCCACTCGAACTTGGATGGCTTCCGTACTTCTTCGGCCCCTCCCCTGGACCCCCTCTGTCCTAATTACCGCCCTGGTCCCCCCACAAAGGCCCTTTTCACGCTGCCCCCCTTTTTCGGCAACCGCGCGGGTGGACGCGCTTCCTCCGATCCATCGATCCCTTCGACGATCGGTGGCCAACTGGTAAAGAACCAATCGGACGTTCGCCCTCTGCAGTGCAGTTTTTACCAGCGAATTTCGATTTTAAAATTCTAAGGAGGTCCTGGACATTGTCTAGGACTTTTTACCCCGTTTCCCACATGGGGTGTCCCGTGACGGGATCGCGATCCGGGTGCACTTTGCCCCCCTTCTGGGTGGCAGAAAAATCAAGTTCACCTCCGGGGGTCCACTTGCTTCGAGTGGTTCGACGTCTCTTCTCATCTCCCTTTCGGACCTCTTTTCCCTTCCTCTCGGGGCGACCCCCCAGTCCTGCGAGTCCCGTAATTCGACGATTTGTAATCATTTATTTCCTGACGGAACACTGGAAGATCCGCGTGCCGCACAGGTGTTGCATTCAGGCCAACCCTTGAAAAGGAAAAAACTCGCCCTTAACGACTACGGGATCCTCTCTTCCTCCCTTTATTTCTGCCTCGTTCTTCTTCGCGTGTCGCGCTCTTCTTGCCGTCCCATATGATCTATTTTTTTATCTTACGTCCTTGCTGAGTATACGTGTAAACGTTACGAAGAGTCAGGTTCTTTGGATGGAATTGTAGGTGATGTCTCATTTATAATTTAAAAATTTAAAAATTTAGAAACTTTAGACATTCATCGCAAGAGTGGAGTTGCCGCGTTCGATGGTCCCTCGATTTGGACGAGGCGAGTTTTCGGACTCTCGGGTGTTCGAAGTCTCGTCAATGATTAATTTACTCCAAGGATACACCTTCCGAAGCCTGCCGAAGATAATAACGAGCCCAGGTATGGGTTTCCTGCGACCTGCAATCTATACCTGCACTCGACCTGCACAAAGAGCGAATCCTTCCATTACCGTACCCTTAAGGCAGGACAAAGAGGTCCCGCTAAGGGAAGCAACCCCTCATTTCGTCGTTTCCTCGATTTACCCTCCTTATCCTTCGGCTCTGCCTCGTCACGGAGCGAAAATGCGAAATGCCAACAGAAATCTATTCCTGCACCAAAGACAAAAACCCTCGACGATAACCCTCACGGTCTTAAAAACGTAGAAACAAAATGCACTGAAAACGATTTTTGCACCCCAACAGGTAAGTATTTTAATTATGAAGCAATTTTATATAGGATATGAAATGTGGTAGAGATTTGGGTGGTGAACTCACCCTTGGTACCTAGAGATCATTATATGGGGGGTTGCAAGGGTTAGAAAGACAATGTAAAACTCCCCCCGGGGGAATATCATAATTCAAGGAATATCCAAGTTTAAGGAATATCCTCGGTTAGGGGCGAACAGGTATTGGAAATTTCTCGAGAAAATCGACGGGCAACCGCCGGAATTTTGCTTCGAAATTTGGAGGGGCACGAGGGCGCAGGGGCACCTAGGGGGACCAAGGGGGTGAAGGGGCGCCCACCTTTGTTGGCTCAGGGACTCTTGGGGTGGGTTCTTCGAGCCCAGCCAATTCAAAGAGTTTTTCCCTAACGGGAGTTTCTCCTCTTCCGAAATATTTCTCCCCCCGAGAGCCGCCGAGGCCTCGTGAGACCGAATGGCCAAGAAACTCGGTAGAGTTTCGAGACAAATACATTTTGCAGGGAGGAACCCTTACGCTGGATCGCAAACTTCATCCCTGAAATACAGCAACGATGAGTGGAAATTTGCAACGACAAAGAATATTAAAAAAAAATGAAATAAAATAAAATATGCAACGTGGCCAAGAAACTCGGTAGAGTTTCGAGCCAAATACATTTTTCAGGGAGAAACCCTTACGCTCGCTCGCAAACTTCATCCCTGAAATACAGCAACGATGAGTGGAAATTTGCAACGACAAAGAGTACTTAAAAAAAATAATATAAAATAAAATATGCAACGTTGCCCCATACTATTGTTTCGGACAAAACGAAACACTTCCCTTGGACAGGAATATATTAATTATAATCTCCATGCATTTCTAAACAGTCCTCACTCCATGCTGCTTGTTTAATATTCTCCGCCCTAAGAATCATGTATAATTGCAAGAAACAATTATTCCGTTGAGAGGGATAATTGACGTGGATTTCAACGGATGTTGTTTACCCAATTATTGGGACCTTACGCAGGAGTTTTTTGTCGCAATGCATATTTCATTGAGTGAACGTATTTTCCTCGGTGCATAATTCGTCGGATATTTCGGTTTAGGTTAGATTCTGGTAATCGACATTCCTCGGTAAACATCCCATAGACCTCGGGCGGCAAGACCGTCGAATTTCGGTGTTTCGCAATCTGACCTTGGCCGCCATCTTGGAGGAAGTCGCTCGAGGCGCCATTGGGCCCTCCGTAAAAGAACGGGAAGGAGATTCTCGGAAGGGAGAGTTCTTAAACGTCCCGAAAGAGACGCAACCGAGACCCCGCGGAGAGCGAATGGCGAGAGGCTATTCGCCGGGCGAGTAAAGGGAAAAGAAAAGGAAAAAAAAAATGGGCGACCTCGTCGCCATCTTTTTGACGCGATCGAGGTAACCTCTCAAACCCCGGGAATAGCCCTCGTTTATGTTTCTTTTTTACCTCGGCGGGGAGCGAATGGCAAGTGGAAGCTCGACGAAGGGCGACACTTCGCCGCCATTTTGTGGCGCGCTTTGGGAACAATTTTCGGACACCTCTTCGTACGCAGTAATTTTCTGCTTTTTCACATTACCTCCCCCAATCACAAAGGAGAAAGGATGAAAACGCATAATATTATTTAGACACATTAATTCTATTTACAATATCGCATATAACTATCCGCACCCTGAAAAAAAAAAAAAACATGCATTGAACCAAAGGAATATTTTGTTAACTGAAAGAATAAGTTTACTCAAACTCATAGTAACGTTGCATCCAATTTATTCGAGTTTATTTGAGTGAAATAATTATTCTGTTAATTGAAAGGATATATTTTCTACGTTTCGCCGGTTTATTTAGTCTCCGTTACCTCCCTTCTTCCCCTTACGCCTTTGTTTCGACTATCTATATTTTTCTAGCGGTTTCTCGTCTTACATTATTTTATCCACGCGTTATGGAATATTGTATCAAAGCGCACAAATAGCTTTTCCATGATCCTGGGGTGTAGATTCAGCCTGGCGAAGGTCAGGACACCATGGCCAACCTTCGACGGAGGTCGAAGGTAAAATCGATGCCGACGAAAGAGACAAAGACTGAAATAGAAGGGGGTAAAAGGTGTCCGGCTATAAAAATATCGTAAACGTAATCCACTAGTTATCTGCGACTTCCTGGGATAAATTCCCTGATATATACAATATCCTTGAAAAGCCTCGAAAAGCCCAAAATTACCGAACCGTGGAGGAATCCAACGGCAAATAATTTCCCTGAAAGGCATCGGCGGTAACCTCCTCGACATACCCAATACGTGGGAGAAAAGTTGAAAAATTGCATAATTTCCGAGTAATCCAGGGCGGTAAATAATTTCCCATAGAAGCATCGACGTCCCACGAGGTGTCGCTTCCTCGGCGGCAGGGCGCACGCGCGAGGAATTCCTCGGCGGGCCGAATCCTGCGTGCGCGCGTCGAAGCCGGCAATGGCCCACTGGGAGGGCCGCGGCTTCCGGGGGTGGGGGGCCCGAGGTAGGGTGGGAGGGCGGCAGTAGGTGCCGGCGTCCGCAAGATGGCGCGTCGGTCGACAGCGGCGGCGGCGGCGGCGATGACGCACGCGTTTCCTAATCGGCGCGCCGGCCGGTCACGCGCCGTGGGGCGGGGGTGCGCGGGGCGGGGGCGCGCGGGGCGGTGGCCGGGGATCGGCGGTGGGGAGTCAGTCGAGGTGGGGTCGGCGGCGGGATGGGAGGTGAGCCGGGGAGTGGGAGAAAGCCGGCCGCGGCGAAGTGGAGGGGGCAACTGGGCGCGGCCTACGGTGCCGGTCTCGGCTCGGGCGCGCACACGATTATAAAAATAATATCAGTGTTACCGCGCTTTCTCGCTGGATATATCCCGTGTACCGGCTGGCACGCACGCTGCCGTTTTCACGCAGTGTGCCCCGCGCGCGCGAATTCTCATTCATTCCCGGTGAGTCCAAAAGTACCGCACGTCGCACGCGCGAGATCACCACGCAGCCATAATTCTCAGTCACTTCCCCAAGGACCACTTTCGGTATCGGAATTACCCAGGAACCTCCCCAAATCGGATACACCGATATACACAAGTATACCTAACCTATAAGAACACCCGGAACCATCCATCGAGTACCGGTTGTCGACGGCGATCTACGGCAACCTTCGGTAACCCGGCACGCTCTCCTCGAGGCATATCCAACGTGCTCCGCCGCGTCCAGGGCGCCATACGGACGGCAGAGGACCGGCGACCGAGACCAGCCGCCACGAGGAAGGCCGAACCTTCTCGAACGAACGACCGAGGAGCGTCCGGAGGAATTTCGCGAGTGCCTCCTGGACGGAGAGTCGGCGGCCGTTCCCGCGCTGACCGCTGGTCGATCCTAGTGCGCCGAGGCTCCGCGATCGCCCGTGGCGCGCCTGTCGCTCCGCGAGGCGGCGACACTGCCGACGCGCCCGGTGGGACACCCTCGAGGGACGCCCTCGCCGACTACACTCGGCTCCGTCTACGACTAACCTGGTGCTCGATAACCTCGACGCGTCCCCCGAGACCGACACGCGCGGCCAAAACGCATCATGGCCATGGAAAAGTTCCCCGAGGCCGGCATCCTTCAGCAGGAGATGGAGAGGCTCGAGATCGAGGAGAAGACCGCCGAGGGAACGAGGTAATACGGCGCCGCCATCTTGGCCGCGCGCCAAATTCAAACGCGGAGTGCCTGTGTATTTAGAGGTTAAGGTGCACCGTGATGGGTGGATAGGGCCCCGGCAGAGGGTGGCTTTCAAACGAGGTCGATACGCTTTTCCAAACGGAACCCCTTTGTTGGCTCGTTGACCCCTGACCCTCGGCGAACGGGTCTCGGGCGGCCGACATCTTGCCCGGAAGAATTCCGCCAAAGAAACGCGTCGGTTCGCCAGTTCCCGGCCAAGAATTTAATGCCCGCCGGTGCAGGGTTGTCCCTGTTCAAAATCAAGTCGAAAACTTCTGAACCACTTTTTTTTTTCTATGGTGCTTGATTTGTGATGATTATTTAAAATACGTATCTCGGCCTCCTGAGAGTTTAGCGCGCCGATAAGCCGTCTAATTATCCAGGGTCGTTGGGTGTTTTTTTTTTTTTTATTCATTATTGCGGGAAAGTACGCGCGCAGGAATATTTTCCGGAATTTTGTCGGCCTCCGATTTTACGTATGCATGTTTTTTTCTAGGGGATATGTGGTCACGTCGCGACGGTTATTCTTCCATATCCAGGGATGGTTAGGGCATTCTTGTCGTGCTTACGGAAATAACGCGGTAAACGGGAGTTGAGGTAATTATAGTTTGTAATCTTTCGGAGGTAAACACGCAGCCGCGTTTCGACGAGTCGATGCGCGATGATGGGACGTAGATATGTAAATACGCGCTCCGCACTCTCCCTGCCCCGACAATGAAGTCTTATTTTACAAGGGGCAGAATGGTTTAGCCGACTAGCACACTTGTAGAAACGGGCTACAGGAGTCACGGCAATGGGACGATACCGGCCGCCTTTCGATAAGGCGTGCTGCACGAGAGAGTCGTTACCTCATAGCTCCAGTAACTTGCCGTTGATAGTCTCGCGTCGAGGGCTTCTAAGCCGACCATTTCTGAATACACGGCACTCCGGACTCTACTTTTTACCTCCCTCAATTATACAAAATATCCCCGATAATTCTTCTTATAAAATTTCTAACAAACCGCATCCTTGGTCGGGTAACGACCGAGAAGTTCGGACCCAAATTTCGCGTTTCGTTGCCTTTCTTCCTTGCCGCCTAAATTTATCGAGGACATGTTTTTTTTTTTTTTTTTTTTTTTTCGGCATACGTAGGAAAATATTTCATACTCGTAATTAAATTAAGGGGGTGTACCGAATTGTTTCAGATTACACCGCGAATATGGAGGCGCTAAGGGAGGTCCCGACGCCCATGAAATTTCAATTTTTGGAAAATTTGTTTTTAGGAATATCTGTAAACGAGGTTTCTTAAAATTCAAATTTCATGGGTGTCGGGACATTCCTTATAGCCTCTGTATTCACGTTGTAAAGTTTGAAATGATTCGGTACATCCAATTCGGAGAAAAGTTTCACACACGAGACCTCTTTGATGTCACTTTCACATCCCCTTAATTCCCCCGGGAAATTTGAATCGCATGAAAATACTAAATTGTAATGCAGACATTTTTTAGCTGTTATACATTTCTCTGCCAATTTAGTAAAGTTTCCGAAGGAAGGTACTCCAGGGTTACATCCACGTTTCATGGGAGTGCAAATATATTTGCGATTTGCGCAATTTTTTTTTTAACCGCAGTAAGTGCAAAATTTTACCGTGCATAATTTTTTTTTCACGTTAAAATCGAATTCCTCGACCTGGAAATCTCGGGAAGCGTGTCAACGATCTACTGAAACTGAACAGTGAAAATTTTGGGTACGATCCAGTAAAGAACTCGAGACTCGGCAGCGTTTCGCGCCAAGTCGGCAATTCGAAGTTTGCCGACGACGTCGAGTATCTTAACGGCAGACTCAGGATCGATTCGGTTGTTTTTTACAAGAAATATGATCCTCGGAAAATCTCGTCGAAAGTCGAGGTGAAAGTCTGCCGACGATTCGGGTAACCTAGGTTGCGACTGATACCTTTTACGATTGATAAGATTATTCGAGATTATTCCCCGATACGCCGAGGTGCCGGTGAGGTTTCCCGGGAAAATATGCCCAGCTTTTGGATCCCGGTAAGGGGATATAAATCGGTCGAGGGAATGTTTCGCTTTGGGGTAAATCGAGAGTGAAAAGAGGTGCAAGGTTACGTGCAGGAGTTTTGCAACGAGTCGTCGGATTACTTCGCTCGTTTGACCGAAACTGTAAGGCTGACACGTTTCTCGCGAAAAAGAAAAAGAAATGAGAGGAAAAAAAAAGAAGGTTGTATATCCGTTGCCGCTTTCCTTTGTTTGCTTTCATTGAAATCACGTAAGCGTGAGAGCGGTAACGATAACGGCTCCTTGAAATCACGCATGCGCGATAACGGACGGTGAAATGTTAATTAACGAGATACTTCCCAGATTTAAGGACATTGTGGACATTCTTTCTCGCGGGATAGAATGTATTCCTTAGATGGGCAAAAGTCGAATTTATGAATATCGAATTACGTGGAAGTGCCGAAATTTTGGGAAAACGAGGGAAATCTTAATGTGGTTTTTTGGCACTGTTGTAAATGTTCCCGAAGGCGCATTATGTCGTAAATGCAGGGGCAAGTTTTGGTCTTATCGGGATCACGGCGTGAGGCGTAATTTTTTTTTTTTCTCTTATCAAGGTTTCCACGTGCTTAACTTTGTTACGTTTTTGGGAAGAACAAGTTAGGACGTATTTCTCAAGGGCCGATGTTGCACTCCGGGGAAATTTCCATTTTTCTTTTATTCTTTGCAATTTCACTTTTATATACGCTCCGTCTCGTGGATGCGTTAGTCGGGGCGCATAATAAATAATTGAGGTGATAAGGGAATTTAATAAAGCGGGCGTTAATTTAATCGTCGATCGAGGAACGGTCGTCGCTATCAATGAAGTCGCCGAGATCGGGCAAGGTTGGATCGCGATTTGGTCTCTGGTGTTCTATGAAAGTCAGATTTCGGAGTTCATCCTCTCAGCATCCATTGACCGTCCGAAGCGTTATCTCGGGGCCAGAACTCCGGTTATCAGGAGGCGCGAAATCCACCGACCGGCGACAGGCCGAAAACGATGAGACTCCGGTCGGATGTAGAATTCGGTCATCCATTGATTACGAGAATGATTATCCAGCGATTTTAGGAACCTCGTCGGTCGTTACGTTTTGGTTTTTCCGACCTCGCGAGTTTTCGGATACCTGTCTATATTATGAATTTTCGAATTTTTTTCGACGTCCAACATTTTTTTATCTTCATCGGTGTTACGAGTTTTCGTCGACATCGTGAATTATCGGACCTCCATCGACGTCGCGAGTCATCGGACCTCCATCGTCACGAGAAGTCATAAAATCTCCATCAAAGTCGCAAGTTGTCCGACCTCGATCGACATCAAGAGTCGTGAAATCTTGATCGGCATAAAAAGTGAAATTTTCATTGACGCCGCGAGTCATCGGACGTCCACGGACGCGAAAAATCATAAAATCTCCGTCAAATTCGCGAATTGTCCGACCTCGATCGACATCAAGAGTCGTGAAATCTCGATCGGCATCAAAAGCGAAATTTTCATTGACGCCGCGAGTCATCGGACCTCCATCGACGCGAAAAGTCATAAAATCTCCGTCAAATTCGCGAATTGTCCAACCTCGATCGACATCAAGAGTCGTGAAATCTCGATCGGCATAAAATATCAAATTGTCATTGACTCCCGCGAGTCATCGGACCTCCATTGTCACAAAAAGTCATAAAATCTCCGTCAAAGTCGCGAATTGTCCGACCTCGATCGACGTCGCGAGTCATCGAACCTCTATCGACATCAATAGTCGTGAAATCTCGATCGACATCAAAAGTCGTGAAATCTCGATCGGCATAAAAACTGAAATTTTTATTAACGCCGCGAGTCATCGGACCTCCATCGTCAAAAAAAGTCATAAAATCTCCGTCAAACCCGCGAATTGCCCGACCTCGATCGACGTCGCGAGTCATCGAACCTCTATCGGCATCAATAGTCGTGAAATCTCGATCGACATCAAAAGTCGTGATATCTCGATCGGCATAAAAACTGAAATTTTCATTAACGCCGCGAGTCATGGGACCTCCATCGTCACAAAAAGTCATAAAATCTCCGTCAAACCCGCGAATTGCCCGACCTCGATCGACGTCACTTCGTCGTCGGAGCTCCATCGACGTCCCGATTGGTCGGGATTGGTCGGGATTGCTCGCGATTGGTCGCGAGGTCCGATCGGAGGTCCCGGAGCGTGTTCGACGCAGGTCGAATTGTGCATCCGCCCGAAATAGCCGGGTGACTCGCGATTTGCAGTTACGTCACGCCGCGGGAGAACCGAAATCCGAAGGAGCGGGAGCGAGAAGGACACACGGGGGCCGACTCGTCTCTCGTAGAATGTTTTCCTCGGCCGAGCGACGTGGCCTTCGCGCTCTCCCGGCTTTCCGACTCGACGGAGAGAAAGAGAGGGAGAGCGATAAAAAAAATCACCGGGGCTATATTTTGCCCCGCGAACTTTGGATGGAGCGAGACGGCGAGAGGGAATCAGGGGGGGGGGGGGGAGGGAAGAAACTACGCGGAGGCGGATGTCCACTCGAGGACGCTGGAAGGAAACGTTGTCTCCTCCCGGCACCGACCTCGGAACGTTGCGACTCCACCCGGACTTCCGGCTCCCGATCATTGCTATGCGAAACGAAGGCCCTCCCCCCGGCCACCCCGCGAACCCCCGGACTGGTCGAGATCGCTCCAGGAAATACGGAAACCGGAACCGATACGAGGATTCGCCCTGGACATCTGCAGTTGGGGCCGACGAATGGGCAGGAAGAGGCCAGGGAAAGCGGAAGGAAGAAACGGGGTTCTCGACCACTTTGGCGTGGACGCGCCGAGGAGGAAAACCGGAAGGAAAAAAATAGAAGGAAATCCGGACGCTTGGTTACCTTATGTCGAGCAGAAGGAGAGGAAGGGAATGCGGAAGAAGGGAGGAAGTCCAAGTTTTCTGGATTTTC